ATCCCCTAAACAATACAGAAAAATAACTGTGTATGTACCACCTGAGTTATATTAGCTACTGCCAGCAACCTAGAGATGACTTAAAGTGTACAGGAGACTGTGCCCAGGTTATATGCAAATGAGTACATTATATAAGGGACTTGAGCATCCACAGATTTTGATGTCCTTGGGGGTCCTGGAACCAGTCCCCCATGGTTATGGAGGGATGACTGCATTTACCATCTGGCCACTTTTTGCAGCAAAATCTGCTAGCCTCTAATGTAGAATATCACCGTCCGGTAGAAAAGTTCAAGCCACATAATATGATTTTGTATTCAGTAGTTTCCATATCAAAAACGTCAACAAGAACAGGTGTAATTGATTTTAATATTTTATTTAACTTGAGGTATCCAAATACTATCACTTCAACATTCAATCAATATAAAATTATTAATGAGATGTTTCAAAGACTTTCTTTAAATCCCGAGGCTTTGAAATCAGTGCGTCTGATGTACTTAGGCACATCTGAGCCAGGACCAGCCACCTTGCAAGTGTCTAACCTGCCAGGGGACTGCCATGTTGAGTAGCCTGTGTCTAGAACTCCTGTCCCTGGGGTGTGCTTTTACTGAGACTTTGAAGCAGATGAAAATAAAATAATCTTCATATTGGGGTGTATGAAGATTTTCTTGGGAACAGAATTTGCAGCGAAGGCCCGGAGAGGACCCGGACAGGACCCGGGCGAGGTGTGTCTCTACCTCCTCATGCACAGTGGTATGTGTGACACTCCAAGCCAACTGAAACCAGGCCAGTGGGCGCTGTGCTTATTAATGCGGAAAAGTGTGACGGGTGCATGTTTAGCAATCAGATGTAAAATAATGAAGTGGATTATTATTAACTGCACTTTGCGATGAAATCTCATGAAATCAAATGGCCTTTCGCCAGCATTCTGTTTAAAAGAGGTTTTCATTGGCGTTAGCTGCATCCGCATTAAAGCCATTACGAGGGAGGAAAGGAAAAAAAAAAAGGGCAAAGCAGGAGAATTGGGCCTGGGTGAGTTTTTAAAGTACAAATAAAACGAAGGAGGAAGGGGTTGAAATCGTTCTTTGGAACAGAACACGATTTTTGATATTTAATATACCATAGCATGTCCTGGGCTCAGCACTCCCTGTTGTCTCACTAAATAAGCAAACGTCTCCTTGCGCTGAATTTGGCAGGGAAGCATCTGGCCCATTGCTGTGGGATCAAGACGCGCTGGCCGCCCCTGGGCTGCTCTTCTGGGCCAGCCGCCCTCAGCGCCAGGGGCACCGTGAGCGCTGGCTTTGGGCGCAGCTCTGGGGCGCGCTTAAGTGCTTAACGCCGAGCTGTGTGGTCCTGGCCCATCTCGGGGCGCAATGAAGGGACCGCTGCTTAGGCAGGAGCGTTGGGCACATCCCTGTTCCAGCCTGCACTGGCACAGGCCACCGAGAAGCAGTGGGTCTTCCGAGTTGCCACCACGCGATGGGCGGGGCCTGGCAGTGGAGGACAGGGGCCTGGCACCTGGTGGCACCCGGGCTCACGTCTGCGGACCCAGCAGCTGGGCCACGCGCGAGACTCTGCTCTAAGTTGTCGCTTCCTGGTTCGCAGTTTGAGGGCGTGGGCAGGCGCCACCCAGGGCTCGCCTGTCGTATGGTTCTCCTCTTCCAATTATAAGACCCGTTTTCATATTTGTTTTCTCCCTGTAATTTGGCAGCATAAATGAGAACATAAAACAATGCAATCGCTCCCTGTGGGGGACCACAGTTTGGACTGTACCTACTCTACATATTTCTTCCTACAGGTTTCCCATGACTAATCCGAGGAAATGGCCAGCCCTTCGATTCTTCTCTGCCAATGTAGAAACTGCATTTTCCATGTCACCTTTCAGGACTGTAACTCTCCCTGCTCTTTGAATATTATTCATGTGGTGCAGAATTCGAAAGATAAAGAAGAGAGCACAAGGCCTAGCACCCTCTTGCCCTGTCTCTGGTCACCTTATCCTTGTCCTCGTTTTATGTGAACCATCAGTCCTATGTGTATTCAAGGAATATATTTTTACTCTGTGTGTGAGTGTGTGAGTGTGTGTGTGTGTGTGTGTGTGTGTGTAAAACTCAATATGGTATTTTTGAATCTGCTTCAAAACAAAAGAAAAAAACTTCAAACCAAAAAACCCTTTAGAGATTATCCCATGGTCTGCATATGAAGATGTTCCTCTTTTCACAGTTGTATACTACTCCAGGAATGGAGTTACTATAACTTTTTTTTTTTTTTTTGGTACCAGGGATTGAACCCAGAGGTGCGGAACCACCAACCAACGTTCCCAGTCCTGCCCCCTTCATATCTTATTTAGAGACAGGGTTTCCCTGAATTGCTTAGGACCTCCCTCAGTTTCGGAGGTTGGCTTTGAACTTATGATCCTCCTGCCTCAGCTTTCCCAAATGCTGGGATTACAGGCATGTGCCACTGTGCCCGTCGGATGTACTATAATTTAATCAGCCCCTCTCGATGAAGTTTCCCATCCTCTGCTATCGAAACAGTGCTGGTGTGAGACAGCTGTGTGTCCATCATTTCACACAGGTTTGAATACATTTGTAGGATACGCTCCTAGAATGGGATTAGCGTCTGTCCTCGGTGATTACTGCCACCAGCCATACCTAAGAGAGCATGCTTCCTGACTCCAGCCAGTAACATGCAACCTGAAGTTTTGAGCTGTGAGTCTGCTAGGTTAGAAACGGTACCCGGGTGTGGTTTCTACTTGCCTTCCTCTTACTTGAGGGAGAATTTATTTATCAATGAGCTACAGCCATTGCTCACTTTCCTGTGGACCATTGGCTATGTTTCTGATTGGCTGTCAGTTGCTTTAAAAGGGACGCACCACCCTCTTTTACAGCACCCTTCCTTGGTCTTCCGTGTCTGTAGAGAGAAAGCCCCCTTCCTGGGGCGGGGACTCCACGCGCCAGGGCCAGGACCTACTTTCTTTCTGTCCTGTCTTCCCGGGTGTATGTGCACCTCCCTGCTGGTCTTCACTGGCCACAGGACCCTCACCTGAAGAACTTCTCTTCGTCCCTCAAGGCCCCACCGAAATGCCACCTCTCCATGAAGCCTGCTCTCGAGCCCCAGGCAGGTCCCTGGGCCCTGGTGCTGTCTCCCCTGGGCTTGGGCATCTGAGCCCTGACCGTGCTCTCCCTTCACCACCGTGATTTCTAGACATCCCTAATGTCACACTTCACGCCTCTGCATGGCTCCGAGCCAGAATTGAAGAAACGAGACTCTATTTCTTCTTTTTTTTTGGAGGAGACCAGAGTGACCTTTTTCATAACATAAAACTTGCCATTTTAGCCACGTCTCAGCGTCTAGTTCGGTAGTCTTAAGTGAATTCACGTTGCTGTGTGACAGCCAGCACGTCCCATCTCCGGCACACTTATGTCATCCCACACCGAAACTCTGACCCCTCCGACACTCGCTGCCCTGGCCCCTGGCAACCCCGTTGTCCCGTGTCTCTGTGAACTGGACTGTGCTTGTGTCTCGTGTGAGCGGATCGCACCACGCTGTTCTGTTGGTCCAGCTCACTTCTCTGTTCCGTTGGTCCGGCGGCTCAGTTCTCTTAGCTCGTCCCCCGGCTTCCTCGGTGTCATAGATGTATCAGAATTTCGTTCCATCCCAGCGCGTGTTCTCCGCCTTTGTGTATCTTGAGTTGCTTTCGGTTACCGTGAAGAATGCTGAGCACACAGCGCTCCCCTCGCGGCCCTGCTTTCATCTCTTTCGGGTCTATACCCAGCAGTACAATCGCTGAATCAGCTCGGGTGCTACTTGTGTCTCTAATTTTCCTTTTTCTCATCACTAGGGATTAAACCCCGGGGGAATTTTACCGCTCAGCTATATTCTCATCCCTTTCTAAAAATTCTTATTTTGAAACAGGGGGTTGCTTCGTTGCTGGTGCTGGCCTTGAGCGTGTGATTCTCCTGCCTCAGGCTTCTGAGTAGCTGAGGTTACAGACGTGCACCTCCTTGCCCGACTAGATATGTCATTTTTTAAAAAGTAACTGCTGTGCTTTTTTCCACAGCGGGTGCACCTACCAGTAGTGCACAGGGCTCCTGATTTCTTCCTCTCCCCACCAACATGCATTATCTTCTATTTTTCTTTCCTCTTCCTCCTCCTCCTCCTTCTGCTCCTGTAGTAGCCCTTCTCATGGGTCTGAAGTGATCCAAAGGGACCTTTGGGCTACTGTGGTTTGGACAGTGAAGCACAAGGCCAGACTTAGAAGAGATCCTGGCACCCCTATTTCAGTACCACGCGCTTCAGACATTGCCTTGACTTCATAGCCAAGCTTCCCGGATGTCTTCTGGAAGAAGTGTCCACAGTGAGAGGCCTGATCATTTAAAGAACAAGCTCGGCAAACACACAGCTAAGACGTTTCCTGGCCCAGGTGGCGTCAGTCATGGCGGGAGACTCAGACACCACAGTTCGTGGCCCTGGCTTCCTGAGTGTGGCTTGGAGCTGTGGGAATCTGTGGGTCGGTCCCTCATGCCGATGTGTCCTGTCTGCACCTCCAGGAGAACTGGGGACAGGCTGGCATCCCTGCCCTCTTGCCTGGCAGGTGCACTTTGAACTCTTGTGCTACCTTTGATCTGGCAACCTTTGACAATAATTTGGAAATGTCTGAAGCCAGGTTGTCTCTTTGTCATTCCAAGGCAGCTTTCGTTGCTAGTGGGTTTGCCACGGATTCACTCTTCCATTGGGAAGCGGGCTTTGGAATGGTTACCACGTAGCTTTGAAAGTCACATTCTGACCAGCAGATGCTGCTGAGCCCCGGAGAGGGTTTAATGTGTGTGTGTGCATGCGTGTGTTGTATTTGCTCCAATCCTTAATGGTGCTTTCGACATCTCTCATGTAGGTTGGTGTTTTGCATCCCAGGAAAATAATGATGTATGCGCGCGTGTTAACACGATCATGTCTGACCTTCTGTATCTCTCTCACGTTGTTTTTTTTTCTCTTCTCCTTTACAGAATTTCGTGCCGTCTCTGGGTAGGCAGACCTCCCTGACGACATCTGTGGTCCCCAAAGCCGAGCAGGGTGCAACTTACAAAGACTTTATTTATTTCACCGTCTTGGAAGGGAACGTGCGCAACGTCTCCGAGGTCTCCGTCGAGTACTTGTGCTCCCAGCCTTGTGTGGTCAGCCTGGAGGCCGTGGTCTCCTCCGAGTTCAGAAGTAGCATCCCTGTGTACAAGAAACGGTGGAAGAACGAGAAGCATCTGCACACCAGCAGGACGCAGAGGGTCCAGGTGAGATTTCCGAGCATCATGGTCTACCGAGACGACTATTTCATCAGGCACTCCATCTCCGTCTCCACAGTGGTACTGAGAGCCTGGATCTCTCACCAACGCGGCGGCGGCGGAGACGCGAGTGTGAAGTGGGAGGAAAACCTGCTGCACGCCGTGGCCAAGAACTACACTCTGCTGAAGACGGTCCCGCCCTTCGAGCGCCCCTTCAAGGACCATCGGGTGTGCCTCGAGTGGAACATGGACTACATCTGGAACCTCTGGGCAAACAAGATCCCACAGTGTCCCCTGGAAGACGGTAGGTCATCGCCTGGCTAGGAACCTTCTCGTGGGGTGGCGCCGGAGAGTCTCACATCAGCCTTCGGGGACACGCGAAAAATGGAGGGGCACGTCGAGTCTGTGGTTTTGAACTTCAGGGACAAAAGGAGAAAAGTAAAAAAAAAAAGTCAGGGTCAAGGGGAAGAGAGGAGGAAAATGAGGAGAGACTAGGACCCGAGGTGGAAGGCAGGGAGGGATAAAGGGGCCGTGGAAGGGAGTCTTTGAGAGGTGTGGCTCTGCCTTCGAAGGAGCACTGATGCTGCGAACCGAGGACTGGGGTGACCTTTCCCCTTCCCTGTCGACCCCTACAAGCCCTGAAGTTTCTGTGATTTTTGAGCAGGACATTTGCCCAGGAGCACATGAGCCCTCAAGGAGGCTTTGTGTCAGACAGGGAGGCCGCGTCCCAGAAGGGAAACTCCTGCCTGGCTTCCCTCTGACTCTGTGACTGGGGGCCTCTCTGAACCTCAGTGTTCTCATCTGCTCAGTGGGAAAACCATTCCCCAGGAGCAGAGGGGTGAGGATTGACTGAGATGGCATTGCACAGGAGCTGGACATCTCTGGGGTCTGAAGTTCTTCCTGGCTCTGGGATGCTGAGCACCCCAGCTCTTCTCCCTTCCCTGGATCAGGAAGCCAAGGCAGCCTTGCTCCCAGACCCCTGCCCAGGCTTGTACCATTTCCTAAAGTGGCGCCCCAGGACCCCCATGGTGGTACTGCCCAGCACCCCCATTATAAATGCAAATTCCCGGGCTCCATCCTTCATCACTCAGGGGCTGGGCCAGTGGGATTTTGATCCCTCTCTTACCCTGGCTGGGTCCCAGATAGGCTTGGCAGTCGAGGAAGCCCATGTCATGGGCGGAAGGCCCCTGCCCAGGATATCGGTCTTCACCGAGCCTGGTTTGGGACAAGGTGACTTAAGGACACGCGCTCTACATTCTTCCTCTAATGATCAACTTCTTGTCACCTCTGGGGCATAATTTCATGAAACAACGGCTATGGTGATTTCTGGGCGCTATGCCAAAGTGGGCATCTAGCGGAAATGTAAAGGACATGTGTGAGCGTGTATTTCCATTGGTCCTGGTCCATTGGCCATCACATCAGCCCACTGGACATTTTAAAAACACTTTATATTAACTATAGTCACAGGAATTTGCAAAAATTTTAGAGAGCCCTGTGCGTCTTCATCCAGCTTTGCCCTTCAGTACCGTCTTCAATAAGTATAGCAAATGTCAAAACCAGGGAGCCAATGTGATCTAATAGTGTCCACCAGACTACCAACTTGAATTCAATTCCGCCAGTGCTCGTGCGCGTGTGTGTGCGTGTGTGTGTGTGTGTGTGTGTGTGTGTGTGTGTGTATTTCTACACGATCTTATGTTACATTATGGCTTATTCTGTCTTTGTGTGGTGCTTTAGGTACTGAGACACCTAGGAGGAGGCAGATTCCCCTTCTGCGTGTGTGTGCAAGTGCGGCAGATAGGATGGGGTGGGTGATTACATGTCTGCGATATGTTGAGCTGCATGGGATTGCATGACCAGTGTGCATCCCTGCTCCGGGCAGCACCGCGTGCCTTCCACAGGGACCCCTAATTTGTTGAGCAGAGAGAGGCACAAGACACGCACAGGCACCGTTTTGCTTTTTGTCGGGGCTTAATGATTCCATTTCATGTTTGGCAAATCACATATTTCTCATTGAAGAATGATTGAATTGCGAGTTGGAAGTTTTCAAATGAAATCATTTACTAAGTTCTCAGGGCACCTGAACAGGCCCTTAAAATGTGCAATGTCTTTCCTTTGTGGCTCCTTCCCGCATTTGCAAGGCTCCAGAAGGGCATGGCGGGGTTTCTCTCCCCAACTCGGCAGAGCTTTATTTTTGGAGTGAAAACCCATTGAATAAAATTATAACGCAATGGAAAACCTTTCCTAAGAGCTAAAAAGCATTGGAAACGGGATGGGGGACTCCATGCACCCCCCAAACCAGCTCTGTCGCTAAGCTGTGATTTGTTTTCCAAGAAAAGAGAGCGTTTCCTCCTGCTCTCTTTAAAAGCCTGGGCCATCTCTTGGAAAGTGTGAGCTACTTTTGTTCTGGACACGGGCTGTGGGACAGCAGGGGCCTGGCCTCTGGCTTGTTCTTAGCAGGGGCTTCTTTATGCCACTCTCCGTGGATAGAGTCAAGTGACAATGTGAGACAGCAGAACTGAGCCTCGGGGCATCTGTTGTGTCTGTTACCCACTGCAGGACCCACTGCCAAGGAGCCTGGGGAGTGGGCTCTGTGTCCAGTGCCTTGTGTCCTAGGATGGTCCTGTCTCTGAATTGAATCACTTCCTGGACTTTCAGTTTCTGGGAAAAAGTCTGCGTGCCCTCTGCCACCGGCCTGGAGTGTTGTCCTGAGGCGAGGGCTATGTGTGGTCAGACCCACCCCGGGGCCGGTCATCTCCTAGGCCAGGATCTGGCCAGGCTGTTGGTCTGGGTTTTGATGGAGCAGAGTTTTATCCGGCCTGCCCAGTAAATCTGACCCTGATCAGGAGCCAGCAGCTTTTCAGATGTGGGTGCAAAGGCCCAGCCAGGTGCCCTTTGGTGTCCCTGTCCCTGCCTGCAGGCATGCGGGCCATAGGTGGTTAGCAGGCCACACCTGGGGCTCCACTATGGTTGTGTGTTTCCTTGAGGAAGGGATGGACGTTATCTGCTGTCCAATGAGCCACATGAGCTCCTGACTCATGCATAAACACACAGACAAAAAACCAGCCACGCAGGCTGGTGACTCAGACCCGGACTTCTCTTTGTGCCACACCCTAAGGTGAGAATCCGTCAGTGTCATTGGCTCCAGCCTCAGCCTATGTATGTCACAGGTCCAACATGTCCAGTCACTCGTCACCATCTATACTGCTGTGGCCCTGGTTTGTCACCACCCTGATGGACGCTGGCCACCGCCTGCCTGCGAGGGGCCTCTTGGCTCTGCCCTGGCCTGGCAGCAGCAGCCTGCTCGCAGTTAGCATTACCCAGCATCCCTCCCTCTGGCCTGTCCCTGCCCGCTGCCAGCTCCCTCTCCTGCTGGGCTCCCCTGCACACCTGTTCCAGCCACACCCGCCCGCTCACTTCTCTGACCAAGTCCGCCCCCACCTTGGGACGTTGGGGTTACCGTTTCCTCTGTTGAAAACGCTCTTCTCCCAGGTGGCTGTGTGGCTTGCTGCCCTGCCCCACTCAGACCTCTGCCCCAATGCCATCTTCCCTGACCGCCTGGTGGCCGCTCCCTCATGACCCGCCCTTAGTTCCCCTCACAGCCCTTCACTCCTGCACCTGGGAATTCAGTAGACTTAGTTGCTGATTTGCTGCTGACCGTCTCCCGCTCTAGAGCAAAAGCTCCACCAGGTCAGGGTCTTTGCTTGCTCGGTGCCTGGTGCGGCGCCTGTACACAGTGGGCATCCCACAGCCATCCACCGAATGAGCGGTGCCGCCAGGACGTGGGTCTCGTGCTTAGCTGTGAACCTCACATGGCGATGGCAGGCTGAGACCCTTACGTGGCTGTGTGGCCCCTGGAAGTGCGAGGAGGTGGGCACCACGGCTGCCCAGGTGGAACCCTGGTGGGCGATGCAGGTTAAGGCTGCGGGCCCCATTCATGCACTCTTACCTGGGTCCCAACCCACCTGCAACCCAGGTAAGCCCCAGCGAGCCCCAGGAAAGGGAGTCCGCGGCTTCCCTGCTGTGCCTTTGCCAAAGTGTCCTGAAATGTCCCGGCCAACCCAGACCCCAGAGCCAACCTCCCGCCACTGCCCCTTCCACGTCTAATGGGCAAAATCATGCTCCTATTGCAGTCCAACTCACATTTCCACCTGTCCCCACCCCTGCCCTGAAAATAGAATGATATATATATAAATTTCCACCCTCAGAAATTAACCTTTGGACTCCCTCTATGGGTGGCTGTCACATAATATCACATCGTTCAATTCAGTGAAAAAAAGATTGAGCAGCTACTATGTTCCCGTTTCTTCTCTGAAATCCAGAGGCTCAAGGATGGAGACGCAGTCCCTCTCTTTAAGGTCTGGTGTGGGAGGTGAGCAGCTCCCACAGTCATGGCCTCCGTCTGAGATGAGAGCTCATTAGGTGCCAGCCTTGGTGCGCTGCGGTGCTCTGTGTATCTAACTGCATCTTCCCGATACTCTACTGTCATATTTACAGAGGAGGAAACTGACTCAGAGACGTAAAATAACTTGTCTAAGGTCACACAGCTATTAATGAGAGAGGTGATATTTAAACCTGGAGAATTTGATTCCCAAACCCCACCTGTAACCATTAAGGTTTGCTGCTGCATGAGAGCAGGGAGCTATCTATTTGTAATGTTTTCAGCTACTAAGCACAGAAAAAAGTTAATGAGATAGCCCTTTGCTAAGCTTCCTCGTGGAAAAGGTGATAGCTGAAGAGAGACTTGAAGGATGAGCAGAATTTTCTTTTTTCTTTTTTAGATGTTGATGAACCTTTATTTTACTTATTTATTTTAATGTGGTGCTGAGAATTGAACCCAGGGCCTCACACATGCTAGGCAAGTGCTCCGCCACTGAGCCACAGCCCAGCCCCCCAGAATTTTCTTTTTTTAAAATTTTTTAGTTGTTCTTTTTGATGTTACATGGCAATAGAGTGCATTTGGACATATCATACATACGTGGGATATAACTTCCATTCTTGTGGTTGTACCCGAGGTGGAGTTTCACTGGCCGTGCATTCATATATGAACACAGGACACAGGAAAGTCATGTCCAGTTCATTCTATGGTCTTCTATTCCCACACTACTCTCTTGCCTTCATTCCCTTTTGTCTAATCCAGGGAACTTCTATTCCCCCACCCACACCCCCGCTGCCGTTATTGTGTGTCAGCATCCACGCATCAGAGAGAACATTCGGCCTTTGGTTTTTGGGGATTGGCTTATTTCCCTCAGCAGGATAGTCTCCAGTTCGTCCATTGACTGGCAAATGCCATAATTTCATTCTTCT